TTGCTCTTCAATGGCTTCCATGAGACTCCCCACTGCTGCTGCTGCTGCTGCTGCTTTCGGCTCTGATCGCGGCAATGATTCGTTTGTGCCCAAGGCGGAGCCCCCTTCTCTCACCCTCGTTTCCTTCGACAGTCCTGATTCTCATGAAGGTTTGTGATTTCATTTACCGATTTGGAACTTCGGCCGTTTCTGTACAATGTTTAATTTACTTAGTTCAACCCAGCTCTTGGAGGGGCCTAATGCGGTGGTTAGTTTGCGTAATACCTTTCTGTGCCGTAACTCGTTGGTGTGGTGTATTGGGATGTCATGCTCATTCGTGTATGTATAGATGTTACGTAAACTGTTTGCGTTATTTCTGAAAAAGAATTGTTTGGCAAGGATTTTTCTGGGTGTACTAATAACTTACCTATTCTGTTATTGATTTAAAGATAGTATAAATTGGAGTTTTTATTTATTGCATCTTAACATGTACTTCAAAGAGAAGGAAAAGAGAACTCGGGGAGAAGAGAGAAGCCATGTTGTTTAACTGTTTTTTTTTTGGCCCTGGTTTGTCATATGGTGTGCTTGATATGTCTCAAAGCGAATGTAAAGCCTGTTCTTAACTTCTATTCTTTAGAATACTTGTTCTAGTGTCGTATCTTGTTCCTGAAAAGACCAAAAAAAGTAGGAAATCTTGTTCTAATAACAACTTTGTGCTGTAGTTGATGAAGAAACCTATCTGGCTCTTGCTCACCAGAAGTACAAGAATGGTGATTATAAGCTGGCGTTGGAGCATAGCACTATAGTTTATGAGAGGAATCCACTTCGCACAGATAATCTTCTTCTGATGGGTGCCATATACTATCAGGTTCTTGCTCTGCCAGTAATTTGGGCGTTGATTAGCTTTGATACCCCAAAAAAGTTTATTTATTTATTTTTATTTTTAATCATGATATATGATAACGGGTACTTAATTATTAATAAACTTATCTATGTATTCAATTTATTAGCCTTATTAGATTTCCTTTATGACATTTTTGAAGTCTGTAAGAATTCAATCTTCAAGTATATGGTTGTTTTTTTCTTTACAGTTGAGTGACTTTGATATGTGTATTGCAAAAAATGAAGAAGCTCTTCGTCTAGAGCCGCGTTTTGCTGAGTGTTATGGAAACATGGCTAATGCTTGGAAGGTAATCCTTGTGACTGTGCTCGGCATTCTAAATGTTCGTTATCCTCACTGGGTGCTGATGCTTCTGCATTCATGCATGATACAGGAGAAAGGAAATATAGATCTTGCAATTCGTTACTACCTGATCGCCATTGAGGTATGTGAAGACTCCTGATCCCCTCTCATGAAAGAGTGACGTTTTTTTAATTGATATTGACCATGAAAATGGATGCATGTAATTTACTTCTCTTATATTTAGGCATATCTGTATGTGATGTAAATTGACCATGCATGCATTTTCTTTCATAAACTCTCATCATCTGTGCAAGTCATTGCATTGAGACTGTCATTGTATGAGATGTAAAGTTTGTCTCAGTATCATTGTTGTCATGACTCTGCCCTTGTGGTGGAACTGTCATAGACTCATAATTAACATTTTCGAGTTAGTTTTTAGCTCAGTATTGTTTTTCCCTCCTGGAGTTTGATAGATCATGTTAAACTATCCAATTTTCTACGTTTCCTGGTCTAGTGGTTGGGATTTATAATATTGAAGGAATCGAATAGCCTTTTCAGATGGACAAGGTTTGGAAAATGGCAGTGATGCTTTGTTATCTGATAATATGTGCACCTTATTTTTACTCTAGTTGTTGATTATGACACGTATGTTGGGCATCTATGTTGTTCTTTCTGGCTGGAAGTGTTAACATTTTATGAGCATTCATCCTTATGAAGATTTGTTGGCAGCGCTTGGCTTGCTTAAAATAATTTTGGAGATTTTTTCCAGGTCCCTTATTCATATGAAATTCTTTATGAGTGGCTTGTATAGGATTCATGGGTTGTTATACTCGAGATTTCATTCTTTTATGACTCTAAATTTTCCTTTTCACTTTGTAAAAGTGTGGTCCTCACTCTATTTATATGTCTTGTTGCAGCTGCGACCCAATTTTTGTGATGCATGGTCAAACTTGGCCAGTGCTTACATGCGAAAAGGAAGGCTTAATGAGGCTGCTCAATGTTGTCGTCAGGCACTTGCATTGAATCCTCTTCTGGTAAATTCTCACCTCTCTATTTATTTTTGTATGTATGTGAACACATTTGCATATGTTTGTATGAATTAATGTATGTAATAAAATACTTACATTTATCCCCAATTTATTTTTCCTCAGATTCTGGTTAATACCAAGCAAGATTCTTAGTGTGCTTGAGGAGTATAATTTGCACTGACTTTATGATATTGCAATATGTAAGATTGTTGGGCATATTGGATCAGTGCATGAAAGAAAATTATGTATTTTGTAGGTATTCATGTTCTATGGGTAGTAAACTGTCCCTTTCGTTCATCTCACTAAATTCCAATATCTTTTCTTGACTCCTCTTTTGGATATTTTAGAAGATTCCATTATTTTATCTCTCTCCAACTATATAAGCGATGTTTTGGTTGCTATCATGCAAAATTATGCTTGTACCAAGTAACAAGGATTTTGATACCTTCCTTCTGTGTTTATTGGACAATAGGTTGATGCTCATAGCAACCTTGGGAACCTCATGAAAGCACAAGGGATGGTTCAAGAAGTAAGTAACTTCAAGTATTTTCTGAATTGCCCCTTCTAATTTCTGAGTGTGTGATGGATTGCACATTGGATATTTGGGGCTGGGATCTTGAATCCCCCATTTCTAATTTGCTATCAAAATTAGTGCTTAACTATTTTTTTTGGATAAGAATTGGTGCTTAATTATCAACTTAGCATCCTTAACATTGCTCTCCAAGGCACTGTTGAACAATCAGCATTTAAAGTTCAGATTCCATTTAAAACTCTCCTCGCAAAATCACGTGGAAATACTGTTTTTCACACTAACTGAAGTAATTGATGGGGGAGAAAATAAGACAAAATATTGAATCTGAAAACCGTTTGAGCATCACATGCCCTAATGTTCTTCACACAATGGGTAACTTACGTTTGTTTTTGTGTAGTTGGGTGGAAGAGTGCCATCTATTATTTAGTTTTTCATTCTTAATGCCTCTCTTCCTCCGTTAAAGTTACTGATTGAAACAATTCATTTGTGGAACTGTGTTGGAATCCACAGTTCGATACATATTTCAATTTGTTATCTTCAGGCCAGGGAACAGATGATGGTTGGTCTTGTTGTTACTTCCATGCCAAGTCTGCAAATTGTCAAGGAAACTAACATTTTGTGCAGGCATACAGCTGCTACCTTGAAGCTTTACGCATTCAGCCTACATTTGCTATCGCATGGTCAAATCTCGCTGGTCTTTTTATGGAATCTGGTGACCTTAACAGAGCACTTCAATACTACAAGGTACTCTTGTTATTTAATTCACATCACAAGTCGCAATGAAAGTGGCTAGTTTCAACTAACCTGTGCATGAATCTTTTTGTTTACCTAGATCACTTTTCATATGTTTCACTGAACTGTTCTTGTACTTCTTAATTATTTAGGAGGCCGTAAAACTCAAACCCCAATTTCCAGATGCCTATCTGAACCTGGGTAATGTTTATAAGGTAAGGTGTCATATGCCTTGAATGAGCACAGGTTCGAGGCTGCAAGTGTTTGTCCTTGCATTAGAGAGAGTCTGTCTACCCTGGTACTAGAGAAAAAAAACAAGAGGTTTCCTTTGCTTTTTTTCCAGGCTTTGGGAATGCCTCAGGAGGCAATTGTGTGCTACCAACGTGCTATTCAGATGCGCCCCAACTATGCTATAGCATATGGTAATTGTTCATGCTTTATATTAATGTTTCTTAAGTAAGATTGTCTTGTTGTGGATATAAGGATCTTTCTTGAGGTAATATCTTTTGCTTATGGGATTGGGGCGTTTCTTGACATTCTATTAGGTCATGCCTTGAACATGGTTCTAGTTGTCTCATTTTTACCTCTTTGCCCTTTTAGCTGACACGTATTGAGTATGGTTCCAGGTAATTTGGCAAGTACTCATTACGAACAAGGCCAACTTGATCTGGCAATACTTCACTACAAGCAAGCTATTACATGTGATCCTAGATTTTTGGAGGCATATAACAATTTGGTTGGTTCCTTTTGATTTATCATCTTAACCGACATCGTGCTTATCTTGTCTTCTAATATCTTCTGGTATCTATAACATCCTTTTTCTTTTTGCAATTTTTAAGGGTAATGCTCTAAAAGAGTTTGGTAGAGTGGATGAAGCTATACAATGTTACAATGTATGTCTTTCTCACTTGTCATTCTACCTACTTTTTAGTTTACAATTAGAGTTTCTAATTATTAACTTTATGTTGCTGCGTAAAGCAATGCCTTGCTCTGCAACCAAGCCACCCACAAGCTCTTACCAACCTCGGGAATATATACATGGAATGGTAAAATGTTTTCCAGTGTATATATGGTGCTACTTGATTGTTGTTATTTATCTCACTTCTTTTAGATATGATTTATAAGAGTTAATTTTGTACTTACAGGAATATGGTGCCGGCTGCTGCTTCATATTATAAGGCCACACTGAGAGTAACTACTGGCTTGTCAGCCCCTTTTAATAATCTCGCCATCATTTATAAGCAGCAGGTAACTAATTCAGAGGTGCTTTAGTTTGTTCATGCTTATTGATTTTGAATAACAAGGAAATTGGACTATATGGATGAGGAAAGGTCCCAAAAATAAGTGTAAAATAGAAAGCTTGATGGAACTGTTAGAATAGTTTGATTAGCCATTTAGGATTTCTCTCTTTTGGTTTCCAAACCTTTTAACTCAATTTACTACAGGGGAATTATGCTGATGCAATTTCTTGCTACAATGAGGTCCTCCGAATTGATCCATTGGCAGCTGATGGCCTTGTCAATAGGGGAAATACTTATAAGGAAATTGGAAGAGTGAGTGATGCAATTCAGGACTACATTCGGGCCATTAATATCCGGCCTACCATGGCTGAAGCTCATGCTAATTTAGCTTCAGCTTATAAAGACAGGTATTTCTTCTCTCCCTATAAAGGCAGTTGGTTTTAATTATGCTCCTATAATCCTTGTATATTTATATTATTTTCAACATAATTCGATCATGTTGTCATCAGATGCATCTTTTCCTTAACTTAAGGAACTGGGTTTTCTAGACATTTCATTGGCTTGTTAATGCCTTATTCTGAAACAATGAAAGAGCATGTATTGCCATCTGTTCAAGATGGTTCTTGGGAGGCCTGGTACTATGTGCTTTTCTGTGATGATTAAAGTGATGTTTTCTATTTACGAAGAATAAAAATATTAGTTGAAAGATCTCTTTTATACAAAGGATAAAAATATTTTAGCATCACAAGTTTTTTGGATTCAGGTATTAAATAAAGTTTGTTACATTTGGGATAGAGGAGCTGTTGTGGCAGACCATTTTCTTTTTTTTTGGCAAATTTATGGTGTATTTGGATTGGGAGGAATAGTATAATTTTTTGGGGTGGGGGAGGTCTTGGGACGAAATTTTGGGTTTAGTTAGATTTAATACTTCTTTATGGGTACTGGTTTCTAAGGTTTTTTGTAATTACCCGTTAAGTGTTATTCTTTTGGATTGAGGTACATTTTGGATTGGGATCCCTTCTGGTAGCCCTTTTGTTGGACTCTGTTTTTTGTGTTCTGCTAGGAAAGCTCGTTTTCTTATGAGAAAAGTGTGTTACATTCAGTCGCAATCCTCTGGTGAAAGACAAAAATATTAAGACCGTCTAGCCTTTGAGTGGTCTTGGTCCTGAATATGTTTGAGCGCCAGTGGTATTGATCTTAATTTAATTTAATTTCTTTGGGTTATAGTGGACACGTGGAGGCTGCTATAAAGAGCTATAAACAAGCATTGCATCTTCGGCCTGAGTTTCCTGAGGCAACATGCAACCTTTTGCATACACTACAGGTAATGTTAAGATTTCATTAACATTTCCTACTTTTTTACTTGTATAGAAGTAGCATGGATTATTGTTTAACAGTGGTTGTAAACTTATCTTGGTTAGACTTGTGGTCATTGATTTTCTTATCCCAAAAAAAAAAAAAAAAAGACTTGTGGTCATTGAATATAGTGAAGTGACCACAAGTGAAGTAGAGGGGTTTGGGAGAATGGGTTCAAATAACATGGTGTTCAGTCACTTAGGATCTATGAGTTTCCTTGCAACTTAACAGGTAACAGGGAGTATTAGGTAGAATATAGTATATACAACACAATTTTTTAGTAAAAAAAGTGGGAACTGTTTAATTTCATTCATGTATATTTCCTTCTATTCATAACTTTTTGGTCAAGAAGTGTTAATGAGAAAATGCCTGTGGTTTAAGAAGTATGTGTGGGCTGACTTCCCATGTTTGCTGCATCGGTTTTCACTGGAAAAGTACTCGGACAATGGTGCTTCCTTGTAATCTTTGTTCTATTGGACCTGCTAGATTAACTTCTTACATTTGGTTCTTGGTGTTGATTTAATACTAAGTAGTTGAGCATTAAAATTTTGTAAGCAAGAAATTTTCTTTATTTTCTTTTGCAGTGTGTCTGCAACTGGGAGGACCGTGATAAAATGTTTGCTGAGGTAGAAGGGATCATCAAGAGGCAAATTAATGTTAGTATGAATCTTATTTTCCTTTATAGTATCCCCTTCTCCGTTCTGGCAGGCAGGGAAGGAAATAAACGAATAAATACGTAGTATAGCCAATGTCTTTTATCCAGTTTCTATATGACGAATTTTGTGCCTGGATACTCTTTGTTTCAGATATCTGTTCTACCAAGTGTTCAACCTTTTCATGCAATAGCATATCCAATTGACCCGTTGCTTGCCCTTGAAATTAGGTACAGTAATTTCCCCCTTGTATATGCCCTTCAAAATGATGCAACTCTCACAACCTCTCTGTTATTACAGCCGCAGTTATGCATCACACTGCTTGAAAATTGCATCTCGATTTTCACTTCCTAGTTTCAACCACCCTTCACCAGTTCCTATTAAGTGCAACGGGGGATTTGAGAGGCTTAGGATTGGGTATGCATTAACCTAAAGACGTCCTTTTTTATACTTCTAAAATTGTTAATTTCACTGAAGCTGTTGACCTGCAGTTACGTCAGCAGTGACTTCGGTAATCACCCCTTATCACATCTTATGGGATCTGTTTTTGGCATGCACAACAGGGAACATGTTGAGGTCTGGGAATTTATATTTTTGCACTTTTGACAAGCATATTTGCTCTGCCTTTTCAGCTGACAATTCCTTTTTAGGTCTTTTGCTATGCTTTGAGTCCAAATGATGGTACGGAGTGGAGACATCGTATTCAATTTGAAGCTGAGCACTTCATAGATGTTTCTGCCATGACATCTGATGTGATTGCAAAAATGATCAATGAAGACAAAATACAAATTTTAATAAATCTGAATGGTTATACTAAGGTATAGTTTTTTGGATTTTATCCTGTTCAGCTTACCGAAGCTTGACAAACATTAATTTAGAATTATGTTGCTTTTCATGATTATTTTTCTTCAGACACTATGTTTCAGCTTTATCTTGAAGACTGTTTTCCGTTGGTTTGCATGTTCAAATAATGTCTTGGAAGTTATTCTCTGTTTGTGTTCTCTTTTGCCTTCTATTTTTTAATGTGAAAAATCATAAATTTATGTCCTGGTAGGTTGATTTATTATTATATTAAAAATAAAGAAAAACGTAGAAAAAGCAACAAATGTTGTTTCTGTCTGTTATTTGTTTAGTTTGTTTCCAGGGGTCTGACATCAAAATGATTGAGTTGGAATCAAATACTAATTTTTTGAAGCCTAAGCTATTGGGTTAACATATTTGTTTGTTCTAATTCTTCTTCTTAATAATTATTGTCAATGTTTATTATTTATTATTATCTTTGAAGTATAATAATTATCTAATTGCACTTTGCAGGGGGCTAGAAATGAAATTTTTGCCATGCAGCCGGCACCTATTCAGGTTTCATACATGGGCTTTCCAGGAACAACAGGAGCAACTTACATAGATTATTTAGTGACTGATGAGGTGAGCTTAGTCTAGTTTTCAATATTTGTTTATTTTTACGGTTTTGTTGAATCTTCTGAACCTATTTTTCTGTTTTCAGTTTGTTTCACCTTTACGTTATGCACATATTTACTCTGAGAAGATTGTCCACCTCCCACACTGTTACTTTGTAAATGATTATAAGCAGGTCAGTATTTTATAATGTAATTTTGTGCTGCTGAGTTGGTTTGTTGATTAGTTTAGCATGTGCCTTACATATTATTTGCACGTGCAGAAAAATCTGGATGTGTTGGATCCAAATTGCCAGCACAAACGTTCAGATTATGGATTACCTGAAGGGAAATTTATCTTTGCTTGCTTTAATCAGTTATACAAAATGGATCCAGAGATCTTCAACACCTGGTAACGGAAATAGCTCCATATTTGACTTGTTTTCCATATGGTTTTTATCTCACCAGATGCTTTCTTATTGTACCAGGTGTAATATTCTTAAACGTGTGCCAAACAGCGCACTTTGGCTTCTGAGATTCCCTGCTGCTGGTGAAATGAGGCTTCGAGCATGTATGAAGAATTCATTTGACATTTTTATTCGGAAGTGATTCTTGTGTGATCAGTGATTTATAATATTAACATGGTAGAAACGGAATCTTGTATCTGGTAAATGAAAATTTTGGCCTTCCCACAGATGCTGCCGCTCAAGGAGTGCAACCAGAGCAAATAGTTTTCACGGACGTTGCCATGAAAAATGAACATATCAGACGTAGTGCATTAGCAGATTTGTTCCTGGACACGTTAGTCACCCTCTTCCTCTTATCTTTTTGATGGTGCCTCCTAGATTCTAATTGCTTCTTTTGTGAGGTTTTTGACGTTATGAATTGATATTCCCGTTCTTCAGGCCTTTGTGTAATGCACATACAACAGGAACAGACATCTTATGGGCGGGTTTACCAATGGTTACCCTGCCCCTCGAGAAAATGGCTACAAGGGTTGCTGGGTCTCTCTGTCTGGCGACTGGACTGGGAGATGAGATGATTGTTAACAGGTTATTATTATTGTAGTAGACCTTTTTGAGCCTGAGGAAAATTTTAAAATACTGGTCAATCAATATGCTCTTTATAAATGGAAAGACTGTATACTATAGAATTGGTCAAGTAAAAAGAATTGGTTGGTTATTTTATAAAAGTAAAAAACTACACACAAAAAGAAAAGTCTATTTATGAATTATGCTGCTTTTACATGTTTGTTTGTTCAATCTTGTAAAAAATGTGGGTTTTGATGTTTAGCATGATTAGCTATTAGATTACGGATCAGTAAGATTGTGTAAAAATCACAAACTAAAATAGAAGTGAGTGATGTTTCAGGATTGAATTAGCAGTTAATGTTAGTCTCCTTCCTTCAAAAATCACAAACTAAAATAAAAGTGAGTGATGTTTCAGGATTAAATTA